AGACAGACAGACAGACAGACAGACAGACAGACAGACAGACAGAGTGAGAAGGCCAGAAACACGTACTGTTTGTGGGGCAAGTACAGAGAGGAGGAGGCTACACAGCAAGAATTCTAGAAATCTGCGAAGATGTGTGCCTGGGCCCTCCACCCCGATTTGCACCGGGAAGGACCGAGAGCCCCAGAAGCTGGACGGCTGTCAGGAGGTAACAGGCCGGCAACTGCCGTAGCTCACGTGGGATGCAGAAGGGGTTCACATCCACCTTGAAGAGCATGGCATCCGAAACAGGGTCACCAGAGGGCTCGTGTCCCTGCAGTGGGGCGGCACTAGCCACAGAGTGAAGGGGCCCTGGACTTGCCCTTAGAAAACTCAACCAGGAAATAACACAATTTAAACATAACCAGCACAAAGCCCAATGTTCTTCAAAGAACACAACTAAATTTAAAAACATCTCACCATGCACAATTCATAATGTCCATCAACTAGTCAAAGTTACTGGGCTTGAGAACAAGCAAGAAAATATGCCTCATAACCAGGAGAAAAAAAAGTTTGTAGAAAGAGACTCAAAAGGGCCGGCCAGATAGCTCAGCAGACTGAAGTATCTGCTTAAGCAGAGCGCAGCGGCTGGGGTTTGATCACCCGTGTGCTGCGCCAGCCCTGCCCCTGGGGCACGCTGAGATTGCGGTTGAGACTGGACATGGTGGTGCGCACCTGTAATCCCAGCACTTGGAAGGCTGAACACCACGAGCCCGATCTATGTAGTGAGACCCTGTAGACCTGTGCTAAATACATAAAAGAGAGAGAGAGAGAGAGAGAGAGAGAGAGAGAGAGAGAGAGAGATTCAAAAACAACAATGGTGATGAGATCGGCGGTAGCGTGCATACAAAAGCAGCTGCTGTAAATACTCTAAAGGTAGAGAGGAGACATGAGCAGAATTCGGGCAGGATAGTCAACTAGGATGTTCAAAAGGCCCAGCAGCATCAACCCACCTGTGCTGAGGTCCACTCTGTCTGGCGGCTCAGAGAGGCCACAGTGTCCACGGAGCTGAGGTCCAGCTGATCTAGCTCAGCCTCAGTGAGCGCCAGAGCGATCCTCCCCAGGGAGACCACGTGGTGCTGTCTCCAGTGGAAAGGAGCGTCCCAAACCTTGGGTGAGGAGAACAGCGGAATGTCAGCGACGCCATTTGCTGTCGTCTAAGTGTTCATGGCCCCCTTGAAAGTCAAGCACCGCAAGCCAGTCTGCCATGTCACCGTGCAGAAGGTGGGTCCCTTGAGAAGTGGCTGGGTTCTGAGTGCCCTGCCCACTGGCCCACTGGGCATGGGTGCCCTTGTGTCAGAACCCCAGAAACCTACCCAGCCCTGTGTCCCATGTGGGGACCCTGCAAGAGAGTGCCATCTATCAGCACTCAGTCTACTGGTGCTCAGGGGTGGCGTGGCTGCCTGTCACATGCCAGGACCTGGATTTGACCCCCAGCACCACACCAGAAGTCTTGGGCATCTCAGCTCCTGAGGTAGTTCCTTATAGCAGCTTCAACAAGACAAAACAGTGCTTAAGACAGACGCCAGACTGGGGATGGTAGCACAAGCCCGCAATCCCAGCTAGTCACAAGTCCTGTATCTTTATTTCTCTCTCTTTAAAATAATTTCTTTTAGGGCCAGCCAAATAGTTCAATGGATTAAAGCACCTACAAGCAGGCAGAGGGGCTGGGGGTTCGATCCCCGGGCCTGTGTGCCAGCCCCACCCCCGGGGGCTGCTGATTGAGACTGGGCGTGGTGGTGTGCGCCTGTAATCCCAGCTCTTGGGAGGCTGTAAACAGGCGGATCACTATGAGTCCGATCTCGTAGTGAGACCCTGAACACCCTGTAGACCCTTCCCTAAAATACAGAAAAAATAATAATAATAATTTATTTTAAAAGGGGGTAGCTGGTGAGGAGGCAGAGCGCTAGCCTGGCATCTGTCAGGCCCTTGGCCACATCCTCAGCACTGAGAAAACAAAACAGCAGCACAGACATCAGGAAAGTCTCCTCCGTGTGTAACTATCTTAGGAATCATTAAGAAAATGATGACTACATTTGTTTGAAGAAGCAAACATGAAAAAAGTTCATTGTCCATTATAATTCATGAAATGCTGACTTTAAATAATTAAAGTAATACCATGTTTGCCTATCATATTGACAAGAAGTAAAAAGAACGATCATTTATGGAGGTATAAAGACACAAGGTACATGCTGGTGGTATAGCTCAGGGGCATAGGGCCTGTCTGGCAAGCTCAAGGTCCTGAGTTCGATTCCCGGTACCAGAAAAAAAAAGAGATGAGGCCAAGGATACCTTCATTTATTGTTGCTGAGAATATAAAGGGGTACTTGGTTTTAAGAGGGAAATCGATCTAGAAGTATCAAAAAGATTTTATATATTTGTACTCTTTTTACCCAGAAATTCCTCTTCTGGGAATTTAGCCTAAGAAAATCAGGAGACAAGGACTCAAAGACATATGTACAGATACACCACAAGGCAAGAACCTAACAATGGGCCACATAAAGACCAGGCAAAAAGCGAAACATTAGATAGCTATACAAAATACTGAGATAGATTCGTATTTCTGAAATTAACAACTTGAGCTCTGCCCTGTTGGCTGTGGACAGCAAGCCACGGCTAGTGAGTGTGGCGACTGCTCCTGTGACAGGCCTGTGCGAGAGCTGCACTTCTCCGTCTCTGCACAGTCTGCCGGCCTCAGACTCAAGTACTGTGTGGATCAGACAACTGATCCCAAAGCAGCCGTCTCGGGGGCTGGAGCTGCAGTCCTGGGGTACAGTGTCTATCACTCGGCAGGACCTGGATTTGACCCCCAGCACCTACACCCACCCACCCACACACACACACACACACACATACACACACACATACACACACCCACACACACCCACACCCACACACACATACACCCACACACACATACACCCCCACACACACTCATACACACCCACACCCACACACACATACACACACCCACACACACATACACACACCCACACCCACACCCACATACACCCACACCCACACACACACATATACACACACACACACTGCACCTGTACAGAACTGGAAAACGTGTTTCCTACTTGAGTATTACCTGAACGATATGCACAACAAGTGCTTACATAGCATCTCCACGTCACGGGGCACTGTAGGCCACACGCAGCGCTATGCCATCTTACACAAGGCTCTCAGCCTGCACGGATCTTGGCCTCTGCAGGGGTCCGTGAGTCAGCTCTCCGGGGATGACAAGGCATGCACATCAGCATGAGACGCATGTGTGACATCCACACGTATATAGGAAGTCTCTGATGCTTCAGGTGAACACACCAAAGCATCTAAAATGCTTAGTTCTAGGTAAAAGACTTGTTTTCTTATTATTTCCTGACTTTTTTGCAATATATATGGATACTTGTAAAATGATAGAGCTCTACATATAGTTGCAAGCAATTTAATTTTTAATCCTATGAGGGTGACCAGATCTTCCACAACTACCCCAACAGCTAAAATGACCCACTCATTGAGAACGTTTTAAAGATGGCAAACTCTTTCCAGTCTTCCTTGTACTCTTGCCTACAGTTCTCAGATGAATTTGCAGTAGCTGCTGAGCAAATTCTGCTGGCTGGAATTCAGGAGTTCTCTAAGTAGAGAAAGGAAAGGCAGAATTCCAGGAAACGGGGTAAGTCAGAACATGCACAGAACTGGACTTTATGATTCTAGGATTCCAATGTGCATTTCAACCCACTCTCTGCCACTTCCCTGGGAGGAAAGAGATAATCCCATTTCTCAGATTAGACACCCTCGACCGCATCATTGAGTGCAGGCAGTGACATTTCCACCAGCTAAAGCACACGCAAGTTCCTCGCGGAGGGCTACACGCCCACAGATGCTGGGGCTGCCTGTTGGTTTTGCTTATTCCTTCTGCTGTTTGACGCTTCCTCCCAGAGGTGAGCTTTACCTGAATTGCCTTCTCCTTCAGCGCCACCAGCTGAGGCCAGCGGAAGCTCCTGACAGCCCCCAGCAGCTCCACGCTCCTCAGGAACGCATCTTCTCCCATGCAGAGGAGGTCCGCGGGGGTCCAGCACGCATTCGCTTCGGCCAGCTGCAGGATCTCCTCAGCAGAAGGGGCAGGGACCCCATGGCAACCTGAGAGGGAGGGAGCATGGGGAAGGCGCAAGTAAAGAGCACTGTGCGGCGTTTTAGTTTCCTTATTAAACAAAATCCTTTATGGGTCAGATTGGCTCGAAAGAGACTAGGAGTCAAAGCACAGACCTACAGGCTGGTTTGGACCCACTTCTGCCATCATTAGTAACTGCCTGGTAACAAAGCTCATGGAAACGCCAGATTTGTATGCATGCACATGCAAAAGAAAGAACTTCACAACGCCATAACTGGACTGCAAACCCCTTAAGGGATAGGCGCTGTCTTGGCTCCTTTTCTCTCATTGCTGGGACAAGATCCCTGATGCCAGCACTGAGGCAGGAAAGGCTCACTTAGCCCGCACCTTGTGGAGGTTTCAGTCCATACTTGGCTGGCTCCCAGGCGGGTGGCACAGCACGGGGACAGCAGTGCAAGGAGGCAGAAGACAGGGACAGCCACAGGAGCGAAAGTGGCGGGGCAAAAAGCTACGTATAAGTGGCTTGCTTATACGTAGGGCGGAGCGAAAGTGGCCTCTCCTGCCCTACATATAAGCAAGCCATCCCCTCCAGGGCAGGTGCAGCGCTCACACCATCCCGGCCCTCCTCTTGCACAGCATGCAGAGAGCAGCTGGCCCCCTGCTGAGTCCCTGAGTTAAACTTCTAAACTTCTCAAGGTGGCACAGGACATCAACCGCTGCAAGCACCCGGGATGAGCAGTCCTGACCCCAGATTCAAACCCACGGAGTTTACCCCCTTCGAGCTTTCCTTTCCTTGTCTCTGTAATAGGCATCAAATTACCTCACATGGTGATTAGGAAAACTGAAAACATCGTCATGCAGAAAGCACTCAGAACAACAGGCGGGCCAACCGAGAGCACTTGATCATTGCTTGTCATTGTCATTATTATCATTATGATTATTTGAAACCTGTCTGGCCCGCTACACATTGGAGTTTCAATCCCAGTATTAATGGCTCCAGAGAAGGAGCCCTCCTATCCAACTGAGTGAATGATGTGCTGGTCATAAAAACCATAGTGAGGGCTGTGGCCTTCCTGCCCAGGGGAGAAGAGGCAAGGCTCTACCGTGTCCTCGCGGGATGCAGGAAAATCCCACCCAATTCGGTCCCTGGATAGCCTGGGTCTTCTCTGGACAGCTACCCACAACATTCAAACAGGACCCCACTGTTGCTGGCTGCAATGGCCCCCAGGAAGCCCAGGTTCTTTCCGAGGCTGGTGCATTTCCCAAGCCCTGCGGCCACTTCTTCTTGTTGCATCTTCAGCATTAACTCACTGGGCTCCAAGCAAGAGGCAAAATTACAGCTGGGTGGCAACTGGGTGCTACACAGCTTCATCACAACCCACATGGGGAGAGCCGAAGACTCAGCCTCGCTGACTCCCCAAGATCCGAGACAGCACAGCACTAGACGGTGGCAGCCCCGCAGAGGTGTACGGCAGGAGCTCGGTCCTGGCACTCTGCGTCCAGGCCTTAGGACAGAACGTGGCACACAGTAGGTGTTCAGCACGTGTTTGTGAAATGAATGGACACATGCGAATGCATTCACTGAAATGAAACCAAGCGGCGATCCTGCTGACGTATGAATTACTCAAAGCACAGCGGCAAATGGCACCTAGAAGCGACTAATAGAGCACTGAGGGTGTGCTGGTAACACAGCTCCCTCCCTGAGCGAGGCAAGGCTTGGATCTGAGGCCTGCATGCACCCAGGAAGAGCGCTGCGTAGTGACCGCTGCCTGCTGGGCTTTTAAGGGCAGCTGGAGCCAGAGGCGAATACCACCAGCTCTGGACATGGTGCAAGAGGTGCAGCCTTCCCCCTCCCTTGATGCCACACAATGGACTGTCCCTTCTGCCACTGCCCTCTTCTGTGGCACCTTACTTTTGTGGTTTTGGTGTAGGTGTCCCCCCAAAGCCTCATGTAGTCATGGGGCAGCTTCTGGAGTTTGTGATTGATTATTGTGGGTGTGGATGCTGCACCTGCCCCGGGGCAGGTAATCTGCATTACAGTGTAAGGAGAGGAGACAGGCTGGCTGCTGCCTGAGCCACTGCTGCTCCTTTTGCTCTCTGCTCTTTGTCACTGCCATGAAAGGCTGCTCTCTGCCATGTGCCACTCTGCGTTGGAGCCAGCTGAGTATGGACTGAAACCTCTGCTAACTGGGAGCTAAATAAACCTTTCTGGTAGGTTCTGGCCCTAGTACGAATTGCTGAAATCATTATGGTGGTTATCTAGTATGGCTGACGCCCTTGAAGCACAGCCCATCTTCCCAAGACCACCTCCCCCTTCTTCTCCAACTTAGCCCAGGACAATTTACTTCCACCCTTCCCACCACCTCGGGGAGACCCCCCAGTCAGCTCCCTCAAGCCCCTCCCCTGGAAAAAGGCCATAAAAGCCTCGGCCTGCCTTTGTCTAGTCAAGAGAGAGAATTCCTCTTCCTTCCCCACATTCTCTCCTGTGTCCTCAAAGAAAATAAAGCCCTTTTCCCTTTTTCCTTCTGCCTGTTTCTCTGCTGCGCCGTTCACCTGAAAACACCTATCACTTTCCTTCCTTAATCCTGGTTGTTGGGTATTTGTCCCAGCAATGAGAGAAGAGTAACTGAGACACCACCTTGGAGCCAGCCAACTTGGACTTAAAGCTCTGCACACTGAGCCAGGGTAAACCTCGCACCCTTTAACGTGTGGGTGTCAGGTATTTTGTCCCGGCAACAAGAAAGTTACCTAGACACTGCTGCTGTGCTCCCCCTGCCCGGAAGATGCTCCCACGGGCGTCCACACAGCCCACACTCCACAGGGGTCTGCTCACACGTCCCCGCACCATGTGACCTTCCCTGGCGGCTGTCCCCCACATCACGGCTCCCCACCCAGCGCTCCCAGCCCCTTTCTCTGCTGGGTTTTCCCTCCTGACAGTCATCATCATGTGACACTATATATTTTGCCTGCACATGGAGCTAACTGGCTGCAGCCCACTTGAAAATAAGCTCGGTGACGGGCAGAGAGTTTTTCTCTTTATGTCACGCACTAGATGTTCAATAAATATTCACTGCATGAATGAAGGCAAGCACTGACTGTTCATGGAAACGAGTACAATTACATTAGGTCTCATTCACCATCTCCCCATGGCTAGCCCAAGTCTGCACATAGCACACAGGAAGGACAATAACGCTATCTAACACCTCTTGAGCATTTTCTATATGCCAACCAGTGCTATGAATATGCTTATAGGTTTAAGCCCACTAATCCTCAAAATAACCCAGTGATCTGTGGGGCCTTCATTTTTCCCACTTTACAACAGGTAAAAACTAAGCAGAGAGAAGGTAAAACACTAACCCAAAATCACACAGCAGTAGGAAGGCGCGGACTCAGGATTCTGACCTGGCATCTGCCCTGTATTTGCAATATGAAGCTGCTAAACTATGTCAGTCCTTTAAGCCAATTCTATTGAACTGTTTGTTACACACACATACCCATTAAACCCACAGCCCGGGTAAGAAGTGTGGAACATGACTTGGAATCTCCTTATCGAGGCGTTTGCTTTTCGCCTGTGGGCTTTTACCACTCAACTCCTTCCTGCGCACTTCATCTATCCCTCGGGCAAGGCGGCCTCTTGATGTCAGGACTGAGCCCAGAACACTGCCACCTGGTGTGACACCGGAGACCCCAAAGTACTTACCAGGGCCGAGGCGGAAGCCAGGGCTCTCACCGCCGCTCTTCCGAACAGACTCAAAGACAGCCCAGAGAAACTCCTCAGGGAGCTGCTTCCCAACCATCCGAGCAGCGGTTTGTTGGAGAATATCAGGAAACTGTGGCGTAAGAGGGACACACAGTGATGAAAATGTGTCGCACACACTTAAATCAGAGCTCAAACAGTAACGCGGCTTACTGCTCTGGGGTTTTCTCCTCATTGCAGCTTCTCATATAAATCTAATCCTTACCCCAATTAATGAGGTCTCTACAAAGAAGCCTGTAAAATGACCCCCACAACGATCCCTTAAGTGCTAAATACTTCTATGTCATTTTCACCAATCAGCTCATCAAAAATAAAGTCACAAGGGCCAGCCAAATAGCTCAGGGGATTAATGCACCTGCAAGCAGGTGCAGGGGCCAGGGTTTTGATCCCCAGGCCTGCTGTGCTGGCCCTGCCCCCAGGGCACACTGAGAAGGCAATGGAGACTGGGCATGGTGGTGCGTGCCTGTAATCCCAGCTCTTGGGAGGCTGCAAACACGAGGCTCACTAAGAGTCGGATCTAGTAGTGAGACCCTGAACACCCTCAAAATAAATAAATAAATAAATAAATAAATAAATAAATAAATATGCAAAGTATAGAGCAGAGTGGCTGGGAGTTCAGTCCTGTGCTTGTGAATGGGAACACGGGTAAGGTGCGGGAAGGATTTCCCCAAAAGGCTGCAGAAGGACCTGAGAACAGTGGTGGCCTCAGAAGAGGGAGGCTGGGCAGCGAGAAATCTAGGGAGGGGTCTCCTGCTTTGCCTGATGCAGCCTTGGAGCGGCTGCGAGTGTTTCCATCCAGGAGTGTGTATTACTTGTTTTATTAAACATTCAAAGCATGCACAAGAGTACAGAGAGTAATACGACAAAGTGCCCATGGGCCACCATCCTGCTTATGAAATAGAGCATCACAGACACCAGCCGCCGGCCTCCCTCACTCCCCGCCTCCCTCTTCCTCAGAGGGAGCTGCGAGGCTGGATGTGGCATTAGCCATTCTCCTGCACATTCTCAAATTTCCCTTCATGCACACTGACTTTGCATGTGCTTAAAATTAGCTAGTACTTAGTATCCTACAACACATGTTCTCGGTAACTCAGGGTTTTTGGAACTCTGTGTTGTGTGTTTTGAGAGCTTGCCATGTCGCCACAAGAAAGTTTCCTTTTTTATTCAACACATAGGATGGAAACCGGGATCTTCACATCGCTTTTATAGTCTTTTATTCTGAGGTGGATTCTCAGTAAGCTGCCAAGCCTGAGGCTCACCTCACGATCCTTCTGCCTTGGCCCGCACGAGGGCTGGCACCACAGCTGTGGCCCCAGGAAGGGGACTTTCTGAAAGACTGGAGCCGCGTATAATATTTATGTACCTACCACTTATGACTATGTGTTTAAGCTCTCAGAAGATGATTTGGCAAGTAAGTGACACACGTGTGCCCCAGAACGACGTGTGCGTGTTTGAGAGCCCCGCCGAGTGCACGCCATGTGCCCCTGCGCACTTCGGCAAGGGAGGACAGTGTGTGGCTGTGCCAGGTCGACCCGACAGCTGCTCAAAAGCATTCGTTTCTCCTCCACCCTCTGCTCCATGGAAAGGGGCTCCTTCTTGCCCCGTAGAGGTGGGGCTTACCCATGTGACTTGCTTTGGCCACTGTCAGGGGGCCAAGTGGCAGTGTCATACTTTCCTACTCCACTTGCAGGAGCTTCAGGCCCCCTCTGTGAATAGACCCATCAGGGGCTCCAGAGACAGAGTTATGGAGACTTCTGGCTGCCCCAGGGACCCGCAGGCCAGGCAGCGGGACATAAGCGCTCTCTGTTATGTGCCCAGGGGACAGTGTGACTTTGTCTACACAGACAAGGAGCCCAACTTCCGCTCGGCTTGTGTGCCCCTCGGATCCGACCATCCACACCGTGGAGAGTCACTCCGAGCACGGAGCGCCGCCAAGACTGATGCTCAGGAAGGCTGTGTCTTGGGCACACGTGCAGGAGAACGTGGCACTGCAGCCCCAGGACCCTGAGCGGAAGTGCGTGCGGCGACCACACCTCAGGACAATGAGGCAGGAGGAGCACTGAACCCAGGAGTTCCAGATCAGCCCGGAGGGACCCCAACTCCAAAGCCAACAAAGGAAAAGGCCGAAACACAAGGAGGAGACAGAGCCAGCCCAGAAGGCCCAGCAAGTGCAAGGCTTGCACAGCAGGCCCAAGGCCAGCCTAGCTACATAGCAAGACCGGCTCTCAAAAAAAAATAAGAATAAAAATAAAAATAAAAGCTAAGTGACAGTCCCCAGGCTTCACACATCTGACTGGAGGGCCCGGGGGCAGTCCAGAGTTCATTGGGCTCCTTCCTCATGCTCTGAGCCTGGCCCTTGGGCACCCTGAAACCAAGCTGGAAACTTCTGAGACAAGAAGGAAGCTTCCAGAACCACAGACTGTCCCTCAGGGAATGCGACTGAGCATGCTTTCCTCCCTTTGAACTCTTTAGCCTTCATAAAAAGAGCCGCAGAAGTACCTTTGTGGCAACAGAATGTAGTTCATCCCTGGAGAAGAGCAGGAGAAAAGGTCCCATGTCCTCCACAGCCTCTGCTGTCCAGTTCTGCGGGCGTCTAGAAAAGATGAAAGGCAGCAAAATTTAACAACCCATGTGGTAGTGGGCATCTTGTTCCTCAGCATCTTTATTTTTAAGAATAGATCATTCTTAACACCTAGGAAGGTTGTCAATAGGGCCCCACTTCTCTCTCTCTCTCTCTCTCTCTCTCTCTCTCTCTCTCTCT